TTAGCACCAACATAACTGGTTTGTTCCACTTTGGAGTAAGCTGTTGGGGGAAGAATCAGTTTTGTGTTGTGTGTTTCTTTGACTGATGAAGCCTTCTGGATGGAAGGTGAAACGTTTCAGCACAAAAAAAAAAAAAAAACTGTCCAAATGACCTGACTGAAAATGGTTGGATTGTATACCTGGATTATTGAGCATGGACTTTGTTGGTTTAAAGAGCACAGTTTTTACAAATTTAAAGATGTCCCAGTGCATTCCTGTGAGAAAATTATAATCTAGGGATGCACAATATTATCGGCATGGTATCGGACGATATTAGCAATAAAATTAAATATCGGACATCGGCCATTCCATCAAAATAACTCACCAATGTAAAAGGCTTTTGTTAATAAGTTAAGTTATTTTTTAATTTAAGAAACTGTCAAGGATATCTATTAATGCACTACTACTTATGCACTTTTCACTTGTTGCTTGTGAACATAATGAGTTTAGAGTTGTGAAAATGTATAAATTTGTAGTGTTCAAGTGTTGTCATTGTGTTAGAGAGAGTAAATGTCATGAATAAATTTGATATTAAACATAATCCAAGTTGAAGTGTTACATCATTTTCAGCCCCTTTTTTGGCACCTGCATTTACGCAGGCCAACTTGACAAAGACCATATAGAATAATGTACTATTTTAATCCCACATCAGACACTATGTAGTCTCTGTAAGTAGGTTTAGTGGGAAAATATCGGTATTGGTATCGGTTGCCAGCCAAATAAGTTTTAAAATATTGGCATATCGGATATTGGCCAAAAATCCAATATCGTGCATCTCTAATATAATCCTAAATAAAGTTAAACAAGTCAATAAGTTTAACCTTTAAAACAAAAGTTTAGCAGTATTGACCGGAACGAGCTGAACGTTTTGATACATAAACGTGTGAAAGTGTTCTGAAGTAGTTGGAGTCTACAAAACGTACAGAAGATGCTTTACACAAGAAAACAGCTGAATCAGCATTCACACAGTTAAAGCTAGTACTGACATATTTTTGCATCTTTTTATGTAAAAAAAAAAAAAAAAAAAACTTCTGTAACTCACAGGAACTAAAGATTTTGACCCACGAGTGTTTCCCTCATGGGTCAAAAGCTCATTATTACGTGGTCATGGGGGGATCCTGACACATTTTTACAGACTGGCACAAACAACCACCTTTACTTTACCTGCACGGTGTCTGTATTAAACAGAAGTAGCAGTCAGGAGAGACATTCACCTGGAGGATGTGTTGAAAACACAACATGGTGCAGCTGCTGCAAGCGTCACTTGTATCAACTGTCAGCTGACCAACCCACAAACTTCAGTGGCTGAAGCCGCACGTTGACCTCGGCTCTACTTCGAAGTATGTGCAGATGTGAGAGTTTGACTTTTTGTTCTGGAAAAAGGTTCGGCAGCTCTGTCAGTTCAGTTTTTGAAGCTTCAAGGAGTGCAGCTGCGTTGCAGTTTTTCTGCTCGGAAACGTGTGCACTTGGGTAGTGCTGTAGAATAAATAAACACCAACTGTTCACAGGCATGTTTTATCTGAAGATCTCACAAAATAATATATAATTTGTTATTTGTGGAAAGTAGACTCTCTGAGTTACTAGCTGACTTGTTCCCTGCAGGATATTTGTGGTATCTTTACTGCTTTGAAAACGATTTTCATCCAGGTTGCGTGTTTGAGTCGGAGTGTATTTTTGTCTGCCTGTCTGTGCCTCAGCCTTGAGTTCAGAGCAGGTTCTGGCACGCACAAATCTGGGAAACTTCGAGCTGAGCAAACAGCTCACCTGTTTTTCTGGCCGCCGCGAGAGTCATGCACGCGAGCCGTTTGCACGCACACGGTTTTTAGCTCCCCGCTGTGCAGCGAAATTGTAAAATGTTTTGTCTGTGGGGTTGAGTTTTCGTGTGTTTGATGTAAGAGCGATTGCAAAGATGAGGCTGTGCTGAGGGAGAGACAAGAACACCTCTGCTATTCCCACACCTCCACAGTCTGCTGCTGCTTTCTCATGTCCTGACCTCAGTTACCGCAGAGGCAAACAGTGCTCGGCGCAGAGGAGAGCACCTGCTTTTGTGCTGGGTGGGTGTAAGCTCCTGACTGGCTCCTGACTTTTTTTTTTTTCCCAGGTAAAGAGTGACGAGGCTTAAGCGAGCTAGCTGAGGATCTTTTCTTGTGAGCCAGGTTTGATTTACAGCCCGCTTGAGGAATGCTGTTCACAGGGTGGAGCTCAGGTGTGTTGACAAGGCTTTTAGCACTCAAGCGCTGTCAGGATGGCTTACAGACAAGTGTGTGTTCATGTCAGGGGCCGGCAAGCAAGAGGTCACTAATGTCCCACCAGAGAGACCGTTACCACAGAGCGACAAGGATGTGTGAAAGTTACTGAGGCGTAAACGCTGTTTTTACACACACACACATAGATTGGATCTTTGAGTAACATTTATGCCCTTTCACACCAAAGCAGCAACCTGGGAAAATGTGGTGCTGAAGCTGTGAATGGGTCAGAACCAGTGAACTGACTTTATGAGCCTGTTTTTGATTGGTTGAATACAAATCTTTGATTTAAGGAAACGGATGCGTTTACTGTGAACTTGATGTGAACTTTCCCAAGAAATCTGTTCCATCTCACCTAAAAGTTTTCGATTCAAGATCTTATTTTATTTTGTACCCTTTTAACATAATTTAAGCTAAAGCTTTTTTTTTTTTGTAAAGTTAATTGCTATTACAGTAGTCCCTCACTACTTCGCAGTTCGTTTTTCGTGGACTCGCTCTATCGCGGTTTTTCAAAATAAGATTGGACATGACTCACAATTGGCTGATTGATGGATGAGCCGCACGATCAACATGGAATTTTTATTTAAAATAAATTATTTTAAATTATTTAGCTTCCTCCTGCAGCATGTCAGAGCTCCACTCTGCAGTGGAGAAGTGGGCGTGGCCAAAAGAGCTGACAGGTGGCAGAGAGCTGAGATCATGACATGCTGTGCTCTTTTGGAACGTTTAGCATTTAGAAACATTGTTAGGGACATTGCAAGAGTGTGGGAAGCGTTTAAAACGCCTTAATATACCTGTATATAAATACTAGGGATGCACAATATTATTGGTATGGTATCGGGTATCGGCCAGTGTTAGCGTTAAAGTTAAATATCGGACATCGGTCATTCAATCAAAATAACTCACCGATATAAAGACAGTTTTTGCATGACCTGCAGCGCCAGAACAACGTGATGACGTCATGTGCGTCTACCTGCTCTGATAACGACAGAGTGGAAGAAGTCAAAATGTCGGCAGTATGGAAGTTTTTTTTTGTTGAGGATGTCTGATTCCGAAGATTTTTGGACTATGTTGAGCCTCGCTACATCCTCCCCAGTCTGAGATATTTTTCCAACCTAGCCTTACCTGAGTCACAAGCCGTCATGTCCGACGTCATTGAGAAGCTAATAGCCGATAGCACTTGGGTGAGTTTTACCACAGACATTTGGACGTCAAGTGTTAGCCCCGTTAGCATGGTTAGTCTTACGTCACAATGGATAGACAAAAACTTTGAACTTAAAAATGCTGTCCTTCATGCACAAGAGTGCAGAGGATCCCACTCTGCAACTAGGAACCCGAAACAAGCCTCCACAACTGAGACAGCATCGCAGGTGACCAATGCTAATAAATAACATTTAACGCTTTTCATTTAATATAAGTTAAAGTGCTATGCATATAGCTGTTGCTGAATATATGTCACCAGCTCTACAGCTGTTATACAATTTTTGTAGCAAATAAGCATGTTCTGGCAAAGGAAAGAATTTAAAAAAATCGGTATCTGTTATCGACCAATTAAGTTTTAACATATCGGCATATTGGATATCGGCCAAAAATCCAATATCATGCATCCCTAACAAATACTAAAATAAACTACTACTACTACTACTACTACTACTACTTGTGTACATAATTTTATTCTATCTCATGTACCACATGAGATGGTAATGACAATACAGTTTACTTGAACTTGGACTACTGTATCCCTACTTCGTGGGTTTTCACTTATCACGGGGGGAGGGCGTGGTCCTAATTCCCCGCGATAAACGAGGGACTACTGTAAACAGTTGTTGATTAAAAGCAGTGATTTGCCTGAATGATAAATATTTTGTCTTTCTTTCTTCTATTGAAATGTACATTTTATGTATTATTCTACCTTTTATTAATGTTTATATAAAATAAACTACTTTAATATGATTTTAAAAGAGAAATACGATATTTCCTAAATTTTTAAACATGTGTAAATTATTTTAGATTAAACTCATTTATTGCGAATAAATAAAATATTGAACAATATTATGTTACTTGTTCTTTGAATAATAGTTTATCTACTTTTTGAAAGAGAAGTTAATAATTTTGTGTACTTTTTTTACTTAATATCTAATATTTAATGGTTTTATCTCACTCTGTATCAAGTTGACTTTAAAACATTGTATTAATGATTTATTCTTTCTTTTGTTTAGCTTCACTTTTAATAAAAGTTTGCTTAGTTACACTTAAATTTAAACACTTATACAAAGCTTCCTTTATTAATTTTGGTCTTGACATTGATATTTTAGATTTTTATTTTAACTTTATGAGCTAGGCATGGCTGTATCATACTGGATCCATCACATTAATATATTATAAATTTTTCATGTTTAACCTTCTATTTTGCTTCATTGATTACTTTTATGTCTTTGCAAAACAATATGTTACTCTTGTGATTAAAAAGTTTGATATAAATAAAGTTTAGGTTAATTCATATCAATAAAAGTGATCTGATAATACACGGTAGAAGCATAAATGTGTGTAAATTAAAAGGAAGTTGTTTGTGTTGCCAATATATTTTATGCTTGAATGTAAAAATAAAGTGGCTCGAATTGTTAGACATTTTTAATTATTATTTATCCATTAAAACTTCGCTTGTATTACACTTTGTTTTAGCCGTTCTGCTTCAGTTTTTTTCTGTTTGTCCAGGCGTGTAACAGCGATCAGTACGTGGCGATTCCTCGAGCAGACATGGTCGGGATGCTTAAAGAGAAAGGTGCGTCCGCCCTTTTCTGTCTTCCTGATGTTTCTCTGCTGTCTTTAAATTATTGATGAGGATTTGTCTGCAAGCTTAGATCTCAAATTACTGACTAATCACATATTTTTTAAAAGAATAAATTTGGTGTATGTGATTTTAGGGTATTTGCAGGACAACGTTGACCGCACTCCTGAGAAACCCTGTCGACAGGAAGAGCAGCAGCTCGATGACACCCCGACCCCCGGCGTGACCCCTGAACCCCCCAGGTATGCCACTCAGTGTCGCTGGGCCTCCCTTTCAGAACTGGACCGCAACACCCTGACCTTTCCCGAGGGGTCGCCCATCCAGCTGCACACCGTGCCCCCCACCCTGCTGCAGAGGATACCGCTGTTCTACGTCTGCACCAGATGTGGCAAGGTGTTCTGGGAAGGTTCGCACTTCAGCCGCGTCCTTTCCTTGTTTCAGGAGGTTTTACACATAACGGATGAGGACAAAGCCTCGGCTGCAGAGGTCTTTCCACACAACGACTGACTGACGCGGAGCTGCTCAAGTTTTTTGCACAACAGTCAGAAAAATATGTTTAATTTGCAACACACCAAGTTAAAATGAACAGAAAGGTATTACTGTTTTAGTTAGTGGTAACAAATTAAGAAGGCAAGTCTGTTTCTAAATCTGTGTTTATGTCCTGTATTTACTCCTGATGTTTAAGAAACCTCTCCTGCAGTTCTTTTTTTTTTTTTTTTCAAATTAATATTTCATGAAAAGTTCCAGACATGCTCATACTTTCAAATCTTTTTCTATTTTTTTTTATTTTTTTTTTAGCAGTTTTGAATATATGGAGGTTAAATTCAAATCTGTTTATTCCAATGCATACACACACACACAAAAAGCCACAGAACTGCCTATACATTTTTTTTCCAAGTTTGCTTTGACTGATAAACCAAAGATCACTGTTTTACGTCTAATGGTTTGAATTTGGATGTTTTGAATTTTATCGTTAATCAATTAAGGAACTCAACAGATGTTCTGCTGGAGTCCTGCAAACACCACACCTTCTGTTCCGTTGAAGGATTTTTGCGCGCACAGTTTGCAAATCTGGACTGGGAAGCACACGACATGAATGTACCATCTGTGCGCACACGGATGCATGAGTTATACATGCACGAGCACGTCCGTAAACTTCTTGACTGCTTTATTTTGCAAATCAGAGATGAGCTCTGCAGCACACAGGTGTTCAGTTCAAAGCTGAAAAGTTGTGTCTGTGTCACATTGACCACTATAAGAGAATAGAGTTGTTTCATTCAACACGTTTTTATTCTCACATCTGGTAACAAATTATCTTTTTTTTTTTTTTTAAAGCTGTGATAGATTTTTTTAATTACCTGTGGTGCTGTACATTTGATTAAGTTGATTTTTATTTTTTTAGCTGATGTGTTAATAAACTGTTTCACTGTTGAACTGAGAGAATGAGTAACGTGTTGTTCAGCAGATGTTCTTTTGTTTTCGATGTTTCTTGAAGTCACCGAGCAGATGGTGAAGGCCGGAGAGCGGACAGATTAATGAGATCATCGACACTCCGCCGATGTCTGTCAGGTGTAACATTAGCGCCGAGGGTTTTCTGTCCCCGGGCTCAGGTCTCGAGCCGGCGCATTCCTACAGAATCGGCTCTCGTTTCCCCAAACGTCTCCTCCATTCAATGATCCCACACGCAGTTTGTGTGATTGCAGAAAATTGGACTCTGACAATGACATTTTTAGCAATCAAGGATTTTCTGTTGTTTCCAGATAATCTTGTGGAGGCTGCAGCAGAAGGCTGCGCTCGTAAAATGTAGTAATCTCTAACCGTAGCCAGATGTGCTCCTTTTCTTCTGCGCATCAGAAAAGCCACAATTCAGGCGGTTCATACAGTGCGCACGCAATATATTTAAATAAATAAATTTTAATTACGATCCTTCCCTAATCAAATGTTCAGACATTGCGCTTTTTATTGTCAAACCAACGATATTTAAAGAATGTTTGATCATAAAGCTACTGACACTAAATTTATCCTAACAAAATATGTATAATTTGTTATTGATAAGGTTAATTTTAATACATATAAAATACTGTAGTGCACTAAACACAGCAAAAGACAAAAAGTGTATTCGTCTTAATTTTATCAAGTCGTGGGTGTTCATGGTTTCCGTTTTAATTCCTAATTAAAATCTCATTTATGCTTCTGGTTATTTTTACTTTTGATACTAAAAAACAGGGATGCACGATATTATCAGCATGGTATCGTATCGGCCGATATTAGCGACAAAGTTAAATATTGGATATTGGCCATTCCATCAAAATAACTCGCCAATATAAAAGGCATTGTGTATATGTATATATAGCATATAAATTTGACATTGAAACATTATCCAAGTTGTGGTGTTACATCATTTTCAGCCCCTTTTTGGCATCTGCATTTGGTAGCAGGCCATATTGACAAAGACCATGCAGAATAATGTAGTATTTAAATTCGACAGCAGAGAAAGCGACGTAGTCTCTGTAAGTAGGTCTAGGGAAAAAAATATCGGTTATCGGCTAAATAAGTTTTAACATATTGGCATATCAGATATTGGCCAAAAATCCAATATCCTGCATCTCTACTAAAAAGTATTTCTCCCAGCAGTAAAATAACTTGTGCACTTCTGTAAAAAAAAAAAGTGTAAAATGAGACATATGACAAAGAAGTGAAACATCTGTTCTAATGTAAGATAGACTTTCTAAAATCTTTGAATTGTTTGAAAATAATATTATTTGACCGCTATAATTAGACTTTTTGACCACTTTTAGTGTGTTTGATGAACTGTAATATTATTGCAAAATGAGGTTTGATTTAGGAAGAAATTTAAGGTAAAACAAAAAGAGTTTGAATTGTAGAGAAATTGTAAAATGTATACAGCAGAGATCAGATTTGGTAAAAAAAAAAAAAAAGGCTTAGACTTTGTTTATTTAGATTATGGTGAATAATCTGTTTAAGGGACTTTGAAGTCTTTAAATCTTTAAAATAAAAAGAAAGGATCTAGCACAAATTTAAATAGATTTTTTTTTCAGGGATCACTGAGTGCAACTCTGCTGATAAACTGAATACATGCTGATGTTGGCAAAGGAAGGGGGGTGGGGGGGTGAGGGATTGTAGAAAGATGTGAAACTCCTCATACATGCTATTTAATGCAACTTTATCCTGAAGTTCTCTCCTTTATGATAAAGATTTATGACGCTTTTCAGCCTGAAATACAAAACGTTGCTTTCCACCGTGCGCTTTAACCAACTTTTATTTAATTGCTGCAGCTCTGTTACATTTCCCTTAAATACATTTTACAGGTTTATGAATGAACTGGACCGCTTGAAGCTCCCGGTCCTTGTCCGGGTGGTCGCAGCTCTTTGCCTCTGCAGAGCCCGAGCTCCGTGCTGCAGCACCGTGTTATTTGATCCACGCTCTTTCTTTGCTGGGAAGAAAAGCTCGCCTCTTTCCCACGCTCTGAGGACACGTGGTGCCCGGAATGAATTGGATTCAGAGGACCCTCCCTCCTGGTTAAACGTCACCTCCCTCTCGCTCTCTCTCTCTCTCTCTCTCTTTCTCTCACACACACACATTCTTGCCTTCTGGCATGGATGTGAAAAAAAAACAGTCCTGCAGAATTAAATAAATAAAAAGTACATTTTTTTCGTGACCACATTCATTCACTTTCTCTTCTTGAGTCGCAGCCTGTGGGTTTACATATTTGGACTCTTATTCAGCAGTAAGCATTCCAGGCCTGGACTGGACCGGTCTGTTTGACCCCGGACTGTCCCGGCTCCAGGATCAAATCCTATTTTAGTGTTCTGAGCCGGTTTAGGTCTCTGTTTGCAGGGATGTAGGATTCTTTGAACCAGGCCGTCGTCTAAGAAACTAACATCAGTTTCAGATAGCAGCAGTCCATTAAAACCTTTATTTTATGTTTTTTTGCATGCTTGGTTTGCAAACTGGAGTCAAAAGGTGGTCACTTATTACCTGGTGAAGCTGCGTAAGACAAAAGGAAAAAGAGAAGTATTTTGTCTCCAGTTAAACATCTGAAGTTTGTAATAAAAAGACTCATCCAGTAGAGAAACTTTTGGCTCCTGCAGTCTGTGCAAATGCTTTCCAAGTGTCAGACGAGCTCCAGCTAAACTCGCGTAGTGGACAGATGTTCCTGATGTTCTAGGAAATGTTCTGCACCATTCAGCAACCAAATAGCACCAATGCTCCCTGGGAACTGGCAAGAACACATCTAAAGTGAAGCTGCATACAGTTTTGGTGATGCACAAGTTGATCCAGTCATCCTGCAGAGCTAATGTTTCTTGTAACAAAAAGTTTGTGTGTGTGTGTTGGATATGTATATACAGTGGGGAGAACAAGTATTTGATACACTGTTGATTTTTCAGGTTTTCCCACTTGCAAAGCTTGTAAGATGACTGTAATTTTTATCATAGGTACTCTTCAACTGTGAGTGATGGAATCTAAAACAAAAATCCAGAAAAATACAATGTATGATTTTTAAATAATTAATTTCCATTTTATTGTGTGAAATAAGTATTTGATCATCTATCAACCAGTAAGAATTTTGGCTCTCACAGACACGTTAGTTCTTCTTTAAGAAGCCCTCCTGTTCTCCACTCATTACCTGTATTAACTGCACCTGTTTGGACTCGTGACCTGTATAAAAGACACCTGTCCACACACTCAATCAATCAGACTCCAGCATCTCCACAATGCCCAAGACCAGAGAGCTGTGTAAGGACATCAGGGATAAAATTGTAGACCTGCACAAGGCTGGGATGGGCTACAGGACAATAGGCAAGCAGCTTGGTGAGAAGGCAACAACAGTTGGTGCAATTATTAGAAAATGGAAGAAATACAAAATAACGGAAAATCTCCCTCGGTCTGGGGCGCCATGCAAGATCTCACCTCGTGGAGCATCATTGATCTTGAGGAAGGTGAGGAATGAGCCCAGAACTACACGGCAGGACCTGGTCAATGACCTGAATAGAGCTGGGACCACAGTCTCAAAGAAAACAATCAGTAGCACACTACGCCGTCAAGGATTAAAATCCTGCAGTGCACGCAAGGTGCCCTTCCTCAAGTCAACGCATGTCAAAGCCCGTCTGAAGTTTGCAAATGACCATCTGAATGATCCAGAGGAGGAATGGGAGAAGGTCATGTGGTCTGATGAGACAAAAATAGAACTTTTTGGTTTAAACTCCACTCGTCATGTTTGGAGGAAGAAGAATGATGAGTACAACCCCAAGAACACCATCCCAACCGTGAAGCATGGCGGTGGAAACATCATTCTTTGGGGATGCTTTTATGCAAAGGGGACAGAACGACTGCACCATATTGTGGGAAGGATGGATGGGGCCATGTATCGTGAGATTTTGGCCAACAACCTCCTTCCCTCAGTAAGAGCACTGAAGATGGGTCGTGGCTGGGTCTTCCAGCATGATAACGACCCAAAACACACAGCCAGGGCAACTAAAGAGTGGCTCCGTAGGAAACATCTTAAGGTCCTGGAGTGGCCTAGCCAGTCTCCAGACCTGAATCCCATAGAAAATCTTTGGAGGGAGCTTAAAGTCCGTGTGGCCCAGCGACAGCCCCGAAA